GGATATTTGATAAATGCATGAGTGAGATACAAAACATAGTCCTATATGAGATTCAAAGGGGAAAGTTTATTACTGATTAGAGACATTAAAGAAGGCTTCATTGAGGTAGAAGCTTTATTAGCCCTGTAAGTACAAGTAAGAATTCAACAGAATAAGAAGAGGAAGCAAGATGTTCCAGGCATGGGGAAGAGCTTGAAGGCATGGAAGCAGAAAAGTGCAGGACAGATTTGATAGAGTAAACTAATTTGACTAGAACATTGGCTATGTGGTAATAATAAGGGAATAATAAGAGATAAGGGAGACAAGAAATGCTGGTACTAGTTTATTAAAGGGTCTTAAATATTTGAGAGAGGAGTTCAGGTCTTGAAAGATCATAGAAATCTTCTGAAGATTTTTGAGTACAATAGTTACTTGACCAGATCTCTATGTAAAGAATAGTCTGATAGCAGGATAAAGGGTAGAGTGAAATGGTCTACTAGGTTTTACTGAAGATGTAAACAAGGGTAATAGCTGTGGGAACAGAGAGATATTTCAGAGGCAGAATATTTTAGACAGATATTAAAAGGTGAGAGAAATTGAAGAGGAACAATCAACAGGATTTGAAAATTGATTGGACATGAGAAGTGAGAAAGAAAAAAGAGTCAAACATGACCACAAGGTATCAAACACGGGAGACTAGGTAGAACGATGAAATAATGAAGTCAGAATGATAAGAACATTTCATGGGAAGAAAATAAGTTCAGGTTTGAATGTGTTGAATTTGTGGTGCTGGTGACATATTCAGGTGAAATGTCCTATAGCCATTTGGATAAGTGGATTTGGAGCCTGAAAGAGAAGTCAAGGCTAGAGATAGAGATTTAAGAGTCAGCTGCTTAGAAGTGATAGGTAAAGCTGTGCAAATGTAGCAATTCATCAAGGGAAATAGTGCATGGGGAGAAGAGGGCCAAAAATAGTTGGCATTTACATACTCCTTTAAAATTTGTAATGCACTTTACATATGGAACACCTCGGAGCACTCTGCCCCCCCTCCCCCTGCCGTAGAGGGCCCCAGGATAGCTAGCCCAGGTTCAAGTTACTCTGTATTTATAATTCACTCACCAGACCTGCCACATTAATGTGTTAGCTTTTTCTCCAGTTAAAGGGTACAATCAGTTTCATGTTAAGGTATTTAATGAGTGAAATAGCAAAGGACAGGTCTTCCATAAATCTAGGGCATATTATACTGTAAATAAAAATAATAAACATTTATATGTGGTTTTAAGGTTTGAAAAGCAATTTGCATATGTTACCTCATTGGATTTGATCCTCACAACCCTAGGAGTTAAGTACTATTGTTATACCATTTTTATGAATGAGGAAATTGAGAGGAAAAAAAAAAGAGGGAAGTTAAATGACTTTCCCAAGGTCATACAGCTAGAAAACAGAAGGAAGGATTTGAAGTTAGGTCTTTTAAAACTCTAGATCTGGAACTCTATCCACTATGCCCCCTACCTCCTTATATGCATATATATCACCAGTTGGGAGAATGGACATAGATAAGAAAAATAAATGAGGGGCACAAAAGGGAAACTATAAATAATAAAGACAACTTTCATATACTTCCAAGAAGCTTTGCTTCTACCTTGATATACCTTCATCTTTATGGAACCTAATAAGAGTCAGGCCTTCAAAATATAGGCATATCCTGTCCTTTTACTGCATCTTAGTAAGGAGAGGGTTAAGATGTATTCTTTCTTAAGCATGTTTGGTTGCTCCTTAAGAAAAAATGAAATCTATTGCTTCACTTTTATGTCTTTAAATGAAGGTTAGACAATTTTTGATATTCCTTGGGCTTTTTAAGATAAATCCTTTATGTACCCAAAATAAAAGCAACTGATAGAAAGTTTGTATCTTCTGAGAATTAAGTAGAGACTTTCAGCAACCATATCTTTGCAGGATTCTTGTTCTGAATAAGACATTAATTGTATGAGGTTTGAGAGGCCTACTGTGTCAATCTTTTCTTGCATCAGCATATCCTAATCACTTATTTAATTAGGTATAGAGCTTCTCAATAGAAAAATGTGTCTACTTTTATGAAAAAGGTATTAAATTAAATCAAAGTTTTTTTCTTTAATAAGTCACCAAAATATAAATCTGTGCTTTAGCTTAAAAATTAAAAAAAAAACAAAAACAAAAACAACAAACTTTTGGCTACCTTAGTTTCAAAGATTTTGCCTCTCTGTAAGGTTATTCTCCTATGGGGGTGGTGGTGGAATGTGTAGTTAAATATCAGAATCATAGAGTTAGTGATGGGTTAAACCTTAAAGATCATCTAGTCCAATTAAATTACAATAATTTGAAAGTTTTAAAAGCTAAATATAATTTTCATTACAAACCAAATGTACAAATTCTGAATGCTTAATAAAAATACTAAATTCAAGTGTTCAATGCAACATGTGTCTACTACATGCAAGGTACTATGCTGGCAGCTGCTGTTATGGGAGAAATATTTCCTTTTTAAGTTTGTCAAGTGACTGTTGCTGAAATAAATCTACTACAACATAGAAATTATAGAGGTAAAAACCTAGGTTTTATAATGTTTAATGCTCAGGGTATAGAAAAAACAAACAAACCCCGAAACAGGATTAGGATTCTAATAAGGCTTCTTATAGACAAAATTACATCAGATAAATAGAGAATTAATTCTTTTACATATTGCAATCTCATTCATCCTCTTAGGTCATAAAAGTTAAAAAACTGATTCATAATCTCAGGCATCCTTCAATGTCATAAAGGTTGAATAATCTTAGTTAAACAGAGTCCTAATCTCATATATCCCCTTAAGAAACAAACCTAGTTAATTCGATTCCATTGGTAAATTAAGTCAGGTTATGTTGAGGTTCAGGGAACCATATATTGAGGTTTAGGGGTTCTGGGACCTGAAATAATGACACGTGGTTCCTGCCTGAATGAATTTGACCCAAGCCTTCTTTCAGCCAAAGACAAGGTTTATTAAAGATCTGCCATATTGGCCAGACTCTTAAGGAATCTAAGCATTTGTGATGCTTGTGAAGAGAGGGCTAGAGTAAATCTCAGCCATGGGCTAGATTTTAAGAATCTGAGCCCTTGGCTAGATACTTAAAGAATCTGAGCACCTTAATAGAGGCCAGATGGACCTTATATATTGAAAGACTGTGGGAGGAATCTAGGAGTGGTCAAGTAGTTTGGGGTGACTGGAGGAGGAGTCTGGGAGAAGGGGTATCTTGATGGGAGTGACTGGGAAGTAGAATGGGGTCTAGATGGGATCAAGGGTGGGAAGCTGCCATCTCTCTCTGGAGGTAACAGACAATAGAGGACTGGGTTAGGTTAAGGGTAACTGAGAATTGGGAGATTGAGTTTAGGAAAGGCCAGTTGATAGGATTAGAGCCTCAGGCAACCACTAGAGACTTCCTTGACCAAGTTGGGGGGTTCAAGGAGAGTCCAAGATGGGATTTTTCTAGGGCCTGTAGACCAAATGGGACCCAAAATCTTTTTGGGGTAAGGGGCAAAGGTCTTGGCTTGGGCCTGTACCTGGTCAGTTACAAATAAATTACATTTAGAGGGTCCACAATGGGGTTATTGCAGGGGGATAATTACATACCTACACAGTTGGTGTCAGGAGAATTTTTCTCAAATATGTAAGTTAAATTATTTGGAGAAACCTTGGCTCCCTTTTTGACTTTATTTGAGGACCGTTTGAGGTTTCAAATAAACTTTCACAATGGAAGGGACAGCTTGCAGCTAGCCCAATAACCTCCTAATTAGGAGAAATGGCCCTCACCTCCCTCCAAATAATAAAAATTAATAAAAGTAAATCAAAGACAGAAAATTATTACCACCACATAAATGCAATGGTAGTTATCATACAGTTGTTATCCTCAAGGAGCTCACAATTTCATTAGGACAAAGACAAGTACTCAAATAATCTAATAAAACAGGACAACATAAATGCAGAGAACAGGTCCAGGCAAGCATGGGGAGGAATCTGAGGAAGAAGAACTCTTTCTTTCTTGAGAGACTGAGGGGTGGAAGGTAGACTAAGAGGTGGGAGGAATTGCATTATTTCTCTCTTAATGCACATTGTGAGGCATTTGCATAGCACAAGAAAGGTCAGCTCAAGGGAAACTTCACTTCAATGAAACATTTTAAGCCCATAAGAAGAAAATAACACATAGAAAAACATTATTTATAGTTTTTCCCTCACAGCTCATCAATGTCAGCTGAAATGTACTACAGAAAATAGAGTAACCTTATGCTAATTTTAACATTTCATCAACATTAGCCTGCCTTCAGTAGCCTTTCAATTAAAACCCCTTCCCCTTAAAGTTATTTTTGAGATAAGTGGCACATAGGAAGGAAAGGGAGAAAGTGAGTTGATGAAATATCCATAGTTGAGTGAACTGGATTTCTTATGACCTGCCTGCTACCAAAAGTCTTATTAAAAGGTTGTCACTGAGGAAACTCAGTGAGATGCCTTGCTCCTGATAAGTCATCAGTTCTACTGCTAGAGTTCCTCAAGGGTAAGATCCCATGGAATATCTCAAACAAGAAAGTTAAAGACCTTGGTTAGAAGCAGGTCTTTATGAGTATGGTTCAGAGAAGCATTACAAGTAGAAACAAACAAACAAAATGAACTCCAAGACTCTGCCGTTTATTGAGTCTGTCAAAGTGCAATTTGACACTTAGTTGTATATTTTTAATTGCATTACTTCATTAAGAAAGCTATTAAAAAACTTTTTATTGTTTGCTATAGGGAAAATAGTAAAATGAGAAATAGTGACTTTCAGGAAGAACTGATTTTCACTTTGTTATCTTTCATTTATTTTGTATTTTCTTTGGTTTGTATGATTGGTCTGTTATTAGCCAGGTGGCTTTTTAGGTCGAGATGCTGTTTAAGTGTTTGTATTTTGCAGACTCCGTTTTGCCAGGTGACCTGTTTTTAATGTGTGTCTCCATATTACTGTGCTTCCATCTCTCGTTAGAACTGAAACATGAAATCCATGTTTGGAAGTTGACAGCCCAACGCATTAATCCTGCTAGCCGGGAAGAGACAGCAGTGAAATGCCTCCTCATGCAGAAGGTTTTAACGCTGGAGTTTATGCTCAAGAAGAAGCTCAAAACATTCCAAAGGTAAAGTAGGCCAGTCATGGTCACAGGACTTCTTAATCTTTGTAATCGTTTCTTCTCCTGATGTTAAGGTCAACTGAGCCCCACTGGAATTATGTCATTAGGCGGTTGACCGGGTTATGTGCCCACCATCCAGTTTGAAAACTCTTAGATTTTTAGATTCCCCTTACCTCCCTTCCAAGGCCTTGCCTTTTAATCTTATTCAAATGCACCTTTGCCCCTGGCCCTAAAAAGAACCTGGCTTCAGTTTGTCTACCGGTCCCAGGAAAACCTTAAAGTTTTAGAAACTACCTTATTTCTCTTTGAAAGCTCTCTTTATCTCCCTTTGAAAGCAAACGTCTACTTTCCAGTTTCCTACATTTTCTATTCTCATTGTCTGTTCAAATCTCTCAGACCTTCCAAACGGAATTCCCACCTGGGCCCTTTTTCTCAACCACCTTCTCCCTTCAACTGGCCTTTCCCATTGTTTTACCTTCCTATGGCCTTTGGCCATTTCCCACCCTTAATCCTAGCTAGGCACCATGAGGTCCAGGACCCAGGAGTTCTGTTCACCCCAGCTTACTAACCCCTCCCATCCAGATCTCCTTAGACCCCTCCTCCAGTCACTCCAAACTACTTGGCCACTCCTAGATCCCTCCCACAGTCTTTCTGTACTTAAGATTCACCTTTGCCCCTATTCAGATGCTGAGCTTTCCTCAAGCCAAAAGGCTGCTTATGGTTGTCATCTGGCCACCTTAGCCCCCAGCCCCCATTCTGATGCTGATCTGTTCTCATACCTAGAGGCTTAGACTGCCTCATACCCGCTTGTCCTCATGGGACCTGGCCTATATGTGATTTATCTTTAATAAACTTTTTCTCTGACTGGAAGAAGATTTGGGTTGAATTCATTCAGGCAGATTCGGCACTGCGATCTAGGGGGTCCCAGCACCCCAAAACCCCTACACCTCTTCAGTGGCCATCAGGGTTTCTATTGAGATGTGACCTTAATCTGTATACTGAATGTTGAGACGTTTTAAAGAGCAAAAACAAAACCAAATCCTCTCTCAATATCATTGCTTAATGTAAAGAATCCCAACACCAAACCATAGAATTTGAGTAAAAAGGTTCAGAGAACGTCTAACTTCTACCATGTAATGCTTTGTTTGCTTCTCTACTATGAACATGTAGCCTGAGTACCCCTCAATCCTAGATTCTAGAAAGTTATCTCAGATTTAGGAAACATTTTGGGTTAGTATGAACTTCAATTTGTGATTCACAAGTTCCCTTTGACTTTTTTTTTAATCAAACTAATTAGATACATTTTTTTTTCAAGCGAAAGATATTTGTGTACACAGTGCAACAAAATAAATGGCAAAAAAAAAAAAATTCCCCACATACATACACCATATCTTGATATGTTCTGTCACAGATTCTTCTACCACTGGCAAGAGAAAACGCTTGGGGGGAACTTGTTTGGCAGAGGTCATATACATAAGGAACACGCCTGATCTGGAAAGGGGACACGTAGAAATACGCAGAGGGCACAGATGTAGAAATCATATCTAGCTAGGTTAATTCATTCCTGGGCCCTAGTATTCTTTGATGTTGCTGCACCTTCACAGAATAACTCATTTGATGCTCTGAGGAGGGCATTAAGTTTTTGGTTGCTAGTTCAGAAAATAGACTTGATGGGCTATTTTCTCTCCACACTGCTCCCTACCCCTGTAGCCTCTCAATCTGCCAGTATGTATTAGACTGGGCTGCTCTCTGCTGCCATCTTTTGGTCTTCTGTTGAATTGCAGCTGCAATACAGAGAAGTCTTAGCTTTTTTAGTCATTGTTCTAGATGGGATTTCAGCGTCTTTGGTACATAAGACACACAACTGTACCTAGCCAACCAGCAAAAGCCGGGAGCATCCACCAGGCTTAGTTTAAGTCTGTCATTTGAACGCCTTTATTTTTGCCTCAGGATTTTTTTGCTCCCTGAACTTAGTCTGCCCTTTGGGTTATGGAAAGAAAATTCCTTTGAACTATCTTCATGCTCCAGGTCACTCCAAAGGTCCATGCATGCAAATCACCCCAGAAGTGTCACATAGGAAGACAGGAGAGGGTGTGTGTGTGTGTGTGTGTGTGTGTGTGTGTGTGTGTGTGTGACAGAGAGACAGAGAGAGAGAGAGAGAGAAGGGGGGAAAGAGGGAGAGGGGGGAGGAAAGGGAGAGAGAGAAAGAGAAGGGGAGGAAGTTTTAAAAGAGTTTGAATTGAGTTTTTGAATAAGTTTTGAGAAACCCTTTGTACTTTTTTCAAAACTTAATCTTTTTTTTTTTTTTCAAATTTCCCCATTAGTGTCTAGGGCACTACCATCTTTTTAGTCAACTACTTTTTAGTCAACTAGTTTGAACCACAGACCTCAGAGTCATCCTGGGCTCTTCCCCATCCTGGTCCTTACATATTTAATTAGTTGCCAAGGCCTGTAGATTCAATTTACACAACATCTCTCACATCTCTTTCCTTCTCTCTGCTCACACAGACAGTAATGAGTAATTTAAGTTCTCATCACTTCTTACCTGAGTTGTTGCAATAGTCTCCTAACTGGTATCCTTGCCTCCATTCTTTTCCCTATCAAGCCTATCCTGTATACAGCTGCCTCTAGGATCAAACATAAATTCTTTTATTTATCGTTTAAAGGTCCTCACAATCTAGTCCCATTCTATCTTTCCTGCCTGTCTTGTGGAGGTTTGGAATACCAAAGTCCAGTTAGGGGAATGGTGACAATTTTCCAATTATGTCCCAGGTTCAAAGGGGTTGGGGTATGACTGCGGGTCACAGTTGTGGTGTTGGGAGGAGGGAGTCCCTGTGAGCAAGGCATGTTTCCCAGTTTTTAGCCCTTACTCTTCAGATTCCCTAAGGAAAAAAAAATAAATTGGGGAAATATCTGCAGCTACTGAATCTCTTGATACAGTTTTGGGAGCTGGTTCGTACTTCTTAAAAGAGAGTTAGTATGGCTAGGAGGTGCAGCACCTCCAGATAAAACCAAAACTTAGTGAGAGGCTGGAACAGAGAGAGAGAGAAAGTTCACCAAGTGAGATTTGGGGAACAGAGTTGTGGGGAGGGAGAAGGGTATTCACACAATGCAAGAAGAGTTAGAGAGAATGGACACAGAATGGATCCCAGTCTGCTGAAGTCCTGGATAGGGTCTGGGGGTGCTCAACATGGATGAAGTGGGGGAGGTTTTTATAGGGTTTATATCTGGGTCAGGAAGGGTCAGGAGTTGGGGGCAGAAGGCAGAAGAGCTCAGACGTGAAGTGTGGGTCAGTGGTAAGGACTGATAGTGATTCATGAACTGGGACTGCTGGGGGAAGTTGCTTGGTAGTTGATATTCAAACTTCCCGTCATTATGACAGAGAACAAGGGGCTTTGGGCCCTTATTGCTGGTCTTAATTGCTACACTGACAAGTTTTTTGTTTTTTTTTTAAGCTTCTTGAGGTGTCTTCATTTAGGAGAGGCTACTGTATTTCTAACCATTTACTTCCCTCTGCAGTATGTTCTCTAGCCAAACTGGGGCACTACCTCCCTATTGAGGCCCTAAGTGATAGAGAATGCAAAACAATGAGTTGATATATATAAAGTGCTTTGCAAACCTTAAAGAGCTGTATAAAATCTAGTTATTATTATTACTAACACTTATCAACTGACAGCTTAAAATCAGCATTTTCCAGCTGATCAGCTGGAATCACTTTATTATCTTAATAATAATTATCTTAATTATCATTGTATATTTAGACTTTTATGTTATATTATTATATTACATTATATTATAATATTATTAATAATTAATATCTTAATAATGAAAGTAATATATTAAATAATAATAATTATCATTTTAATAAGCCCTCCATGCTCTTCCACAGTCTTTGGAAAGATAATAAAATCATCCAAGCACACCAATACCTCCAGGTCATTTTCATATCTCCAGTCACCTTCTCCAAATAGTAGGTGACCTTGAGATTCCTTGGAACATGTATGTTCAAAACTTGTAGACTCTTGCTGGTCTCTGGGAGGGGAAGGACTCAGTCACTTAGTACATTCAGTACCTGTTTGAAGCTGGGATTCTTCTTGACTCCAAAAGTCTCCCCAGTGGCCCTGCTTGCCCTGTATGTACACGTGACCTTGGCTGGATTGGAGCTAACTAGTTCTGATATCCTCACCAAAAGTACATTTGCATTGCTCAAGCTTGCTAGGTCAGGGCAATAGCTAAGGGATAGAGGGAGAGAGACCATCATTACTGCTGTCTGTCTCTCTCATTTTCACCTTGAAAATGTCCAGTGACATTTGAGTATCTCATGCTGGCTCCTGGGAAGTCACTTTCAGATATTGTTTCTCCTAAGCCTTTTCAGAGATATATCATGCAAAGGGTGGAGCAGATGAGCCCATTAAGTCCCCAGACACAAGTCCGTGCCATATTTATATTGTAGCTATTTGTTTTCATATCTTACCTTCTTCCCTTTACTTTTTTTTTCTTTTTTCTTCCCTTTCTTTTTTATCCATCTGCCCCAGAAAATGTCTGGCATTGCATGGGTTATTTTTAAAGTTCTTACATTGTTATGTTCAGAGATCTGTAATTTCATTAATATGAAATCCCTTCACTGCTCCCTTCACTCAGGCATGGTTTAGTAGCCAAAGAAAGCTACCAAAAGGTGAACTTAGCTAGACTGACTTGTGGATAACATATATAGCCTCTTACCAGGCCCATAGTTTTCCTGCTTGGTAGGAATTGGCAAAGGGTCTGCTCTTTTGTCATAGCCTTCAAGAACTCAAGAACAAAGCCACATCACAATGATTATTAGAATAGTTCTTCAATTAAGTGTAAGGAATATTTTTTCCCCTGAGAATTCTTTAAGAGATATAGGGATGTTGTAAAACTGGGGTCAGGATTCACTAACTTAACTGTATTACAGAAGCCTTTTAAATTTTAAGCTCAAGTAGTTTAATAAAAAAAAAAAAGCCAGGTCAAAAGAATGCATATACTATGCTAAATTCTTCTCCTGGTACTAGCATATTGAATTCAAGTTGAGAAGTAGCAGTTAACTTTAAATAGGTCTGTTGACTGGAATAACTCCCATTTGTCTTGGTTTTGGAAACAACAGAAGGAAGAAGCATTCTAGAGAATATGAACTTAATCCAGGGCCTTGGACATAGGGTGAAACAGAAAATTCACCTAGGACAATGCAAATGGACATTTTGTGTAGGTATTGTTAGTCTCCGAGCAATGAAGAATTATTTTACGTGCAGAAATTGTAGAAAGCATACCTTCTAGGTTAGCCTGTAACCAGGACAACCAAACTAGAAATAAAAGTGTTATGCTGATCTCAGGCACAAAATATGAAATGTGAAAATTGCAAAAAGACTCATGGAAGGAGTCTCTCAGTTTAACCACCTTCTAGGCTTCAAGTTTGGGAGACAAAAGCCTGAATCTTACACACTGAAGTTTATGATAACTATAAAGTATAATCTTGTAGATAAAATGTTACAAATCTTAAAGTAGATCTAAGGACAAAGTACCATTTCTTTTTATAGTCAGGTCAGGAAAGACCTTTCTAGTTTTACTTAGGGTAGATAGACAGCTTGAGTTACAGGTGGGACCGTAAACTTCATCCAGTACAGCCAAATGTTGATAACCTAAATCTTTCAGAATTGGAATACAAAACAATCCCCAAATCCTTTCAAACAAAAAATGGAGGAAATTCCATTTTGAACATCCATACTTAGATTCCCTTTTTCTTTACTATTTGGCTTTGTCTCACATAATCTTTTATAAAAAACATGCAGTTTACCTCAGCCTTGCAAAATAGACTAAAAATAACCATACATGTAAAAAAAATCTTAATGAACCAGTGAATTTGCATGAGTTCTTCCTATGTGGAATATGAAATCATAAATTTTTGAAGCTGGAAGGGACCTTAGAGTTCATTTAGTCCAGTTCCTCATTTTACAGATAAGGAAACAAAGGAGGAAAAGGGGGAGTCATCTAAAGTGATGAACTTGGATGAATGGGAAATTCACCAACCAACTTAAATTTTAAAAGATATGTGTAGAAGATGGAAGCAAGGTCAGGTAAGAGAAGATGAATACAAAAGTACGTAATGATCATATTTAAATAGCATCTGCAGTCCAAAAGCTCAGAGTCAGCTGGTACTGGTAAGGAAAGATAAAGAAAATATTTTAAAAATTTTTTGAAGTTATATTGAGTAATAGGAAAGTCTTAAAAAGAGCAAGAATCTGCTCAGGGTAGATGAAACAATAATACCTGAAGGCAGTGTTTCTCAATTCCTACTAATTTTCTCTGCCAAGAACAATGATCTTTGGATTGTAAAACACAGAACAAAAATGGATAATGAGGTCAGGGATATTAAGATAGAACCTAGTTACCCTAATGAGCTCATCACCTGGTCATATGTACTGAAAGAATTGGTAGAAATGCATGCTAAACAACTGTTAGTGATCTTTTAAAATTATAGAGAATAGGAGAGGTCCTGCAAGATTGGAGAAAGACTAATATTCTGATTTTCAAAACAGAAGAGAATAGATTATGCCAACCATAGATCAGTGAGCTTACCTTCAATTCCTGGAAAAATTTTGGATCTTATTTGAATGGTTAGTTAACATCTAGCAAAAGAAGTGATAATTCAAAAAGACTCAGCATGGTTTCATCAAGAACAGGCCATATTCTAATATTATTTCCTCTTTTTTAAAAAATACATTACTCAACGCATAAATCAGGGAATGCTGAGGATATTATAGCTTACCTAGATTTTAGCAAAATATTTGATCTGGTATGTCATGCTATTCTTGCAGAAAAGGTGGAGAGATAGGGGCTAAACAATGACATAATTAGAGGTATTTGTAATTGGTTGAATGTCTAGACCTGAAAAGTAGTAACTGCTAGTTTGAGACCAACTTGTTAAAAAGTTACTAGGGAAGCATTTCTGAGAGCTTTTAATCCTCTGCTATTTAACAAATTTTATCAATGATTAGGAAAATTGCATAGATTGTATGCTTATCAAAATTACAGAAGACATAAAACTGAGTGGGATCACTAATCCACAATATAACAGGATTGATAGGATTTAGGATTTCAAAAGAGCTGGACAGGCTAGAACAGAGGTGTCAAGCATGCTGCCAGTGATACTGCCCAGACCAGATTAAAATGTAATTGGGGAATGTTTTAATAAAATAAATAGAAGTATGATAAAACATAGATAACATTACATTGTTAAACTATATCACATAAAGCCCATAGGAATCCTTAGGTATGGATTAGTGGCTTTTGTTTCTATTTGAATTTGACTCTGTCAAACTCAGGCTAGAACACTGGGCCAGATTGAAGAAAATGAAATGTAATAGGGATAAATATACAATTTTTATGCTTGGCTTAAAAAGAAGTACAATATGGGATGGTATGACCCAAAGTCTTCCATTTGAAAAAGATCAGGGGTATTTAGTGGATTTCATGGGAAGTAAGTGTCAACTGTTTGATGTGGCAATTAAGAAAGTCAGTGCGATCTTGGGCAGCCTGGAGAGAAGGAAAAGGAGATAATGGTCCTTCTATAGTCTGCCCTGGTTAGGCTATATCTACAGTGTTGCGTTTAGTTCTAGGTTCTAGTTCTAATTCTGTTGTGTTTAGTTCTAGTTATCAATTTTTAGGAATGATGTTGATACGTTGGAAACATTCCAGAGAAGAAAACCAGGGTAGTAGAGAATCTTAGGCCATACAAAAAATTGGTTGAAGGAATTGGTGATATTTATCCTGAAGAAGAAAAGTTTAGGGGGTGACCTGATATCTATCTTTAAATATTTGAAGGGCTGTTGTATAGAACAGGCATTATACTTATTTCTCTTAACGTTAAAATACAAAACTAGAAAAATGTATGATGCTTACTCACAAATAGACAAATTTAGTCTTGATATAAGGAAAAACTTCTTGCCCCAAGATAGTAATTAGGGCTATCCAAAAATAGAATGGACTATTTTTGGAAGCATTATGTTCTGCCTTTTTTGGAGATGTTGGAGTAGATAACCAGCCATGTTGCAGGGAGAGTTCTTTTTCAGAAATGGATTAGATTTGGTCACAGATGTGCATTTCAGTAAAAAATAATAGTAGACATTTATAAAGTACTTAATATGTGATAGGCACTTTGCACTAAGCGTTACAAGTGTGATCTCATTTAATGCTCACAATGACCCTGGAGATAGGTGCTATTAATATCCCCATTTTACAGTTGAGGAAACTGAGGTAAATAGAGGCTAAGTGAGCTTGCCAGTATCACACAACTAGTAAGTTTCAGGTCTTCCTGACTCAAGGCCCAGCTCCCTATCCATTGTGGTACCTAGCTGCTCTGAATATTGGTGACTTAGATAAAGTCAGAGTGACAAATTCAATTCAACTCAGCAAATACTGATTAGGTATCTCCTCTGTTCAGAGCACTTACATAGGCCTTATACTTGTTAATGACAGAAGCAAATGGATGAGTTTCTTCACAATCCAAGGCAAAACCCATATTTCAATATGCTTTGGACTTGATAACATTGATTAACTTTCCATCTAAAATGGAAAATACCAAGCAACCTTTCTTTTAGTTACTTTTAACTCCTGCACATAGATATCACTTTGATGGCTACCATTGAAGACGCTTGATGCAGGATGCATTAATACAAAAATCCATTATTGCTAACAGCAAAGTTCTTTGAGCATTAAGATGAGAGTTTACTTTAGTGATAGTCTAGCTGAGACTTGAAAATTCCATTATAAAATGAAAGTTAAATAATGTTGAGAATGAATGACTAGTAGAATTGCACATCCAATGTTTTTGCTTGAAAATGACATGAAATTAAATTTCAGAGGGAGAAAGAGTCGTTAATTAGCTGGGAGACAAGATTTAAAAAGTGACTAGGAATTAGCCAACTCTATAGGGGAGGGTCCTAAAAATTCTGTTGATTGAGGGAGATTTTACTTGACTCTTTAGCATCATCAGGAAACATAAAAAGTGTTACCTTCTCTTTCAGACAAATTTCTCAAGAAGACAAAAACTGGGAGACAAATATCCAGGAGCTACAAAAAAAGGTAAATAACAATGAGAATATATCTTACTTTTAAAGAATTCTTCAAGCATACCCAAATGGATATTCATTTCCTAACATATCCACAGAGTGGAATAAAATGTTTAGTATTATGTTGCTTTTTTTGGGGTGGGAGGGAGACAGAAGGAGGCAAGGATAGTCGTCTATGTCTTTCACGTTGGATAGCAGATTAGTGTTCAATATTGATAGGAGGTATATAACAGGCACACTGGAGTCCAAGACAGTAGGACCAACTTTTAGATCAAATTGTTTTATAATGAAGGATTTTGAGTACATGAATAATTATTTTAAATAAATCAACTGGAAAAGTTTAATGAATGTAAACCAGTCACAAGAAGAGGCCTAAAGAGCCTAGAAACTTCCTTAGACAATGAACACCTGATCCTTATGCCAAGTAGAGGGACATGGCAGCCAAGGGCAACGTTGGTTTAGAATAGAAGCTCATTTTTAAAACATTGTGGAAGAAGATGTCAATAACTGTATCCATCATCCAATGTGATTTTAGTATTTGTATAGGAAGAAAAGCGTCTTTATGAAATAATACTCCTAAGGTGACCTGATAAAGAGAAACCAAATATCTGTCTCAAGAAAAAAAAATATAATTTGGTCTTTTCACTCAGAAATGTGTTATACATTTGAAGGAAGTGGATTTTGTTCCATTTTTGTGTAGTATATATTATATATTTACCTGATAATTAAAAAATTCTTAGGGACATGTTGAGTTCTAGTTAAAGTAGGAAAACTTTCTCTTTGATTGCCCTGATATCTACTTTACTTACTTTTCTCCACCCCACTCTGCCCTTTCATCCTCTATCAAAATCCTCCAACTGATCTTATATCATAGAATCATAGATTTAGAGACCAACAGGTCATCTAGTTTCAACATTCTCATTTTACATATGAAAAAAATGAAGACCATGGAGATTAAGTGACCTGAGAAGGTCATACATGTAATAAGTGACTAAGCCAGGATTTGAACCAAGTTCTCAGATTCTTAAATTTAGCATTCTTTATAGTTTAGTATGAATTTAACACCGTTTTCCTCTTCCAGGAATATTTGTATTCTAAATATTATCTCAAATTGCACATTAAAAAGCTCTGTCCCTAGAGATAAGCATTTTGAGCATCAGGGCAGTCAATAGCAGGGATTTTCTTTGGCCCAGGTGCTTTCTTGCTGCCTGTGGTATCACATAATGAAGACTGCTGCCTCATCTGTTCGTTACTAGGTGGGTTTCTTCTACTCCTTCCCCTACATGTGCATTTCTAGTAGGCTCAGGGTAACAGAGGCACAGATAGGGCACAGATAGGGCTCTGCTACAAATCTTAAAGGCCCCTTTTGGACTGTTGCTTTTCAGGCTCAAGTCACAGGCTACAGAATTGCCCATATGTTCCTTGCTTCTTTCACATGTGCCTCAGATGGATATAGCTTCTCTGTAAACCTTTGCATTTGTATTGGGGAGGTAAACAGCAATCTCAAATCTCTGTCTGGCTAGAGGGATGGAAAAATTGTTTTTCATTTCTGGGATGACTTTATTTAATAGAAGACAAATAGTGTTGCTCTTTGGTGTCATCGCTGTGGGGATGCCGCTGTCATGAATTAAACAATGTAGATGTGAAAATTTAGCAGGTGGATATCCCAGAAACCTTCTGGTTTCTTTGCCTCACCCAGACTCCTCTTTGTTCAGTGGAAGAGTTCCTCCTAAGCTCTTTCCAGACCCTGTCCAGAAACCTATGGTCTTTGAAGATTGACAGATGACAAATGTCTGTAACAAGTGGTTGGCAAATAGCTTACATTGCTTTTCTCAGCAGTGGGAGAGCATTCCCACCCTCCTCCGGCTACAAGGGGAATAGGAAGGTTTGCTTCTCTTGCTAACTGTGAAGTCATAGTATTATATTCTAGGAAGCAGGAAGAATATTGAACTGAAAATATCACCCAGACATTTGTGAAAAATCTTTAGATTCCCCAGTCAGACTAATGGTACTTGTCTATTTAAGGATAGCTTTGATATTGCAAGGAAACCAGAGTAATGCTCTCTTATACTGTTGTGCTGGGGGACAAGGACAGATTTTACTTCAAAGGCCTTCTGTATGACATAGTGAAAGATGTACTTCTCTTATATCTTTTCAGACACTTTAGGAAACCTTCCTATGTTTCTAAATCACTGTATGTCTTCTCAACATGTTTTTAAAATTATACTTAATTTGTAACTTGTCTTTTTAACAAATTTTATCCACTTTTCTTTCTAATTAAGATTTTTCCCTCTTCTCCCACCCAACTCTGAATTTTTTCTTAGAGGAAAGTAAGTTATGGTATTGATTCAGATCAGGTAGAACTAAGAACAAATTGCCCGTTTGGGATATACTTAAAAAAGTGACTGAAATGTTCATTTCTTTTGACTCGGAGATCCTACTGCTAGGTGTAGGTGCCAAGAAGATTCAAAATTTTCATAGCAACACTTTTGATGGGAGCAGAGAATTGGAAACAAAACAAGTTCCCATTTACTAGGAAATGCCTAAATAAATAGTTACATTTTCCTAATGATGGCCATAAGAAATGACAGATGTGAAGAATTCTAGAAGCATGAGGGGAAGACATACACACTGACACAAAACAAAGGAAGCAGAAACAGGAAAAATATATGTGTGTGTGTGTGTGTGTCTATGTGTGTCTGTGTGTGTCTGTGTATACACATACACACAATGACTATGTAGAGAGGGCTGTCCCCTGACATGTAGCATGAAAGTGTCATTGTATGGCTCAAAGGAAGACAGAATATACATCTGTAGCCTCTTTTCCCCTCACCTTTCTCCAAGGGAGACTTTAATTCCTGTTAGGAGGGGAAGCAGGTGTTTGGGGCTAGAAACTTGGTCACTCTGCTGTTCTCAGAGAAAGGCTAGAAATTATATCTACCTGATCCTTTAAATATTAGTCTAGAGGATCACTTCTGATCACTCTTCATTACTGAGAAAAGGAGGACCCCCAACCTCCAGATCCTAAGCTTCCCCACTAAATACTAATTCCACAATGAACATAATATAGCAGAGAAACCTATTTATCCAAGTCCATAGCAAGTAGAAATCAGAGAAAGCATACATAGGAGAATATATACCAGTCAATACAGAATGAAGGAACTCTTCCATTAGGAGCGAGGTAGGAGCGAGGTAACTCAGCTGAACAAGAGAGTCCTAGATCTCCCCCTTGGGGAAGTTCCCTGAAGTCTCTAGCCACCTCCTCTCATGTCAGTTTCTTCCCAGAGTCTTTTCCTTCAGTAACTTGAAGTGGGGTTGGCCTCTTCCATTTTCCCTCTCAAAGCTGGAAGCCCAAAGTGCCAGAAGCAACTACAGAGTCTGACGAAACTCCAAGGTACTTGATGAGACTTGAAGCAGGTCCAAAGACTTGAAGAACTTAGAGCTTTCCTCTCTCCTGCTCTCCCCAATTCTGTTCCACCCTTCACCAAGCATGAGGCATTAATTTCTAATGAAAAATGAGAGTTCCATACCAATGGGCTTTGGGACTTGTTACAAATACACCAATGTAAACACAAAAAAAACAGCAAAAAAAGAAGTGCATTCTGTGAAATTAAAATTGTTGGGACTCATGGGGAATCCCAAAATGTTGGGGTACACCAGAATAATGAGGAATTGCAGATTCTTGAATGAATTTGCTCAGACCATCTCCAAGTTAAAGAAAAGACATTTATTAGGGTGATGCACTCACCGGGCTCTGCTCCCTATGGGAGATAGAGCACCAGTCAGGTTAGGTGTCTGGTCTATATTCAGTTTGATGGATGGGAAAAGGGGAGCAGGAGAAGGAGAGGAGGGGAAAAAGCTTGGCTCTGGAATGCCTGGAATGTCAGGTAATCCTGAGTGTCTTTGTAAATGCATACAGCTAAGAAAGGGAAAAGGAAGGAGAGAACTGTTCTGGAATGTCAGGTAGTTGGGGAGTGCTTTGTGAAAGCATATAGATAAGCAAGGGGAACAGAAAAGGTCTGAGGTGGAGGTATCAATGCACAGTCTTCTTGATCACTTTTCTGGCTGGTCACATCCTGCATTTTATCTCACATCTCACATCCTGCAACCTGCTTGCTCCATCTGCCTCAAACACTACTTTCTGCCTCATCATAATGACTAAACCTGGCCCTAGAGAATGGTGGAGAAAATGCATCTTTTTTCTTTCAATGCAGTGTTAGGGGAGTATAGGAGTGGAGTATTACAAACCACTATCATCAGACACAGTCCCTGTATTGGCTAATTTTGCTGAGCTATTTTCTCCTCCACTGCCCCTTTGTATACATTCTTTACAAGGGATGGCTCAGTTGATAGGGTAATAAGAAGGGATATATTCTGAAATGAAAGGTATCGATAAAAATAAAATATACTTTAAAAAATGAATACATTGCTGAGTTCAATAGAATGTGCTGGGTAACACTTATGTTTTTCCTTTCCACAGCATAAGATAGCAGACAAAATTCTCCTCATCAAATGCCTGACTGTGCTGGGATTTGTTATCTTTATGTTCTTTCTCAATTCATTTGTACCAGGCATTCACCTAGATCTGGGTGAGTAGTATGATTTTTTTTTTTTGCTTATTATTATTGATGTTGAATCTGATATTACAAACAGGAGATGGCAAATTTCATACTGTTGTTGTTCAGTCATGTCTCACTATTTGTAACCCCATGGACCATAGCATGCCAATACAGTCCACAGAATTTTCTTGGCAAAGATAATGTAGCAGTTTGCCATTTCCTTCTCTAGTGGATTTAAGGGAAACAGAGGTTAATTGTTTGCCCAGGGTCATACAGCTAGTGTTTGAATTTAGGTCTTCCTGACTCTTGGCCCAGTGATCTTTCCACTGAGCCACCTACTTACCCCAAATTTTATACTATGTGTATTCAAAGATTCCTAGGTCTTGTACAATTTTCCACCAAACTCACTCAAGGCTTGGGTAGAGATGATTTTTTTTTGTGAAACTTTTCCATGGTAGGCTGGAATGTTCTGACATGTTCCACAGGGTGAAAGTGGGGACAAAGTGGTATGAACAAATCAAGGTTGGTGGACAGCAATATGGATCTTGGAACAGTCAGATTGCAGAAATGTTGGGAAAAGGTGAGATCAGAAGCCAGGGTATTAATCAGAGAGCTGTGTGGGTCTAACGAAAATAGTGATGTCTGTAAAGGAGGTTAGTTAAAAACCAAGAGAGACAAAGTCTGAGTAGGGGATGGGTGGGGGTTAGCTGGAGTAGGAGGTTCAGGAATCAGTTGTTTGGTATCATGAATTTTGCCATTTGTTACATTTTCTTAATGAAGTAGTTAAGGCCCTAAAGTATGCATCTGTGCCTTGCTCTCAAATTTGTCCTGAAAGTCTTTTAGCTGGACAGCTCCTACTGCTGCCATCTTCCTGATGCACTCCTATAGCAACTGTGGAATCTATGCAGCAGTAAGTGGGCCATTCTTCTTGTCTGGGGGTGAGGATAAGGTAAAAGGATCATGAGGAAAAAAGTAAATAGGTTACCTCTCTCAATAGGCAGGGAGACAGTGAATCTTTTTCTTTTTACTCCTTTTGAGGAAGAGGCATAGATGAAAGCTCTCAGAAGGGGAAAAGAGAACAGATGATAGCAATGACTGCTCTGAATGTCACCCAAAATCAACCTTCGTGCTGTGTTTGGCATGCTGTGGGTTTACTTTAGCCCAGCTATACACTCTTTAAGACTATGAAGAACAGAGACTAGCAATCCTAGATTATGATCTGTTCTTTATGGAGAAAGAGAAATATTTTTTGAAGAAATGAAAATTGGTCCACTGTATTTTTTTATTCTGAATTAAACAAATATCAGATAAAATGAGTATTTCTATGTGCATAATATAACAGAAGAAGATTATGCATGAAACTTAAGTTTCCTATTACTTACAGCTTGCTTTTCTTTTAAATGTAATAAACTCAACATGTAACTTTCAAAGTTGTCTTCCTTGTCTGATTCTTTCTACTTTCCTTCCTTGCTGTAAGACAAGTAACAACATAGGAGCCACTGGAGTTTTTTAGACTCCACCCTCTTCATTCCAGATCACTCTTGGTCTGGGCAGCAAAAGAACAAGAAGACAGCTTCAGTGGGGTTTAATAATAATTTATTCTTACTATTCTATCTCAATGGATTCCTAATAATAGGAACACTAACTTTTACAGGATTCCCTAATCACCTTTCTCACAGGGGTGGGCGAGAAGGGGGGGAACAACAGCCCCTACATCTCCACGGGGGCCAATCAAGACAGGCACAACATTCCAATTTGTGCATTCCCCTAAATCCCCTCAAGCCTCAACGGGGGCTAGTTGAGGCAGGCACACATGCATTTCCTTATGCTTTCCTCAAACCCTCACTCACTGACCAGTGCTCTTTTGATTTATAGAGAAACTCACAAAGAAGGCAATTTGCCAAAAATAAGCTCACAGGTCAACTTTATCAATGTCATCATAACAGCACAGCACAAGCATAGTAAATATTACATTATGCCATTCCTATATCTCACTGGAAACTGTTTACAGTTTGAACTCCTGAGAACTAGAGATTGTTTTGGCCGTGGATCCTGGGAATTGTTATCTAAAAAAGAATAAAAAAAAATCATATTTTCAATAAATAGGGGTAGTTTTATCTCTTCTTTGCCTATCTTCATGCCTTTAATTTCTGTTTCTTGTCTTATTGTTACAGTTAGAATTTCTATACTTAAGGCAAATAACAGTAAGGAAGAGGAGCATCTTTACTTTATCCTTGTAATTATTGGAAAAACTTCTAGTGGTTTCCTTTTGTATATAATGCTAGCTTTTTCTTTTAAATAGGTACTTTATATTACATTAAAAAGATCCTTCTATGCCAACACTTTTAATGTTTTATTTTTGTAAGCATAAATGAGTGTTGTAGTCAGAAGCTTTTTCTGCATCTATTTGTATAATCAAAGCTTTGGGATGTTTTTCTTTTTAATGATTAATTAGATTGTTTTCCCAATGTTTAATCATAATGTACCCCTGGTGTAAATTCAACATGATCACAGTAAATCATTTTTTTGATAAATTACCAAATCTTTTTGCTATGATTTTAATTAAAATTTTTGAATAGATATTCATTAATGATACTGTTTTGTGGTTTCTTTCTTTGCTTTGTCCTTGTCTGGTTTAGGTATTAGGACTATATTTGTCTCATAAGTTGAATTTGGTAGCATATTTTCTCATTTTTTTAGAGTAATCTGTATAGTATAGGTATAAATTGTTCTTTAAAAGTTTGATAGAATTCCATCTGGACCAGGATTGTTTACAACTACTTTTTTTTCTTTTTTGGAGATTGTGTGTATGATTTGAGATCTCTATTTAGTGTCTTTCTTTTAATCTAAACATTTTATATTTTGAAGATAGTCTATTTCTTTTGAATTCTTAGATTTGCTGGCATATTCCTGCTCCTCTGTACAGGTGATTTTTAAATCTCTGTCTTCAGTCCCTAGCAGTCTCTGCCACTACATATTTATATCTCCAGTTACCTTCAGGATATCTTCAGTTGCCTATCTCCCTAGCACCTCAGTAAGTCCCAAACTGAACTTATTAGCTGTGAATCTCCTAATTCTGATCTCACTATTGTTGTCTGTGGTATCACCATCACCCTAGTACCTTTTAGTTTTTTTGACATTTTCCTCCATTCATTGATTAAGTTTTATTGATATCTCCTCCATAACTTCCCTCACATCTATCCTTCCTTTCTATTCCCATTGCCAGCAGCCTAGTACAAACTTTATTTTATTTTATTTATAATTGCACATACTCTTTATTTAAAGTATTCATTCATGACATGCTAAGTCTAGACTGAAAATCAGGAACTCACCAGATGGAACTGAGAGAACCAGAGTGAGCCACAAACATTCTTTGGGGACCAGCCTCCCTCTTCATTTGGTCCCTTCTTCCCACCCTCACTTAGAGACCCCTTTGGAGTCAGGATCTCAACCCCTTTACCAATAACAAGCTTTTCTTTCAAGAAAGGATCTGATTCAAAACAGTTTAATAGTGCCTAGGGAGGAATGATTTGCATTTTACCGATGGCCTGTTGGTATAGGAAAGCTGCTCTAATGGTGGGATTTCAGGTATCAACTAATCATTTAAAGGAGGAAGTACTTGGAAGTCTAGTGACCCACAGACATTGAGAGTCTAGGCCCTATGTTAACTGTTCTCTCTGTCCCACATGAAGATAATGTTTAGGGAGACCAATCTGATGTCAGAGCACTTTCTGGTGACTTGCCACCAATATCCTGTGTGACTGTAAGCAAGTCACCACTGTATCCCTCTGAGCCTCAGTTTCTTTCTCTGCAAAATGCAAATATTGATTTCTTTTTTTCCTTGATTTATTTTTTTGGGGGCAAATAGTATTTTATTTTTTCCAATTACATGTAATGATAGTTGTCAACATTCATTTTTATAAGATTTTGAGTTTCAGATTTTTTCTCCCTTCCTCCCTCCTCATCCCCCTCCTCTTCCCCCTCCCCAAGATAGTGAGCAATCTGATATAGGGTATACATGTGCAATCATGTAAACATATTTCCACATTAGTCATGTTGTGAAAGAAGAAACAGAACAAAAGGGAAAAACTTCAATAACAAAAAAAAGGGGGGGAAATAGTATGTTTTTTAATTTTTTAAATGTTTTTTTGCTCTTTTGAACTTACTATTTTTTCACTTTTTTCTTATTAATTAATTAACTAAGTTTTAGTTTTCAACATTCACTTCCACGAGATTTTGAGTTCCAAATTTTCTCCCCATCTTGTCCCTCCCCCCACCCCAAGATGTCATGCATTCTGAATACCCCCTCCCCTAATCTGCCCTCCTTTCTATCTCTCCTCCTCTTCTCTTATCCCCTTCCCCCTCAATTTTCCTACAGGGCAGGATAGATTTCTATGCCCTATTTCCTGTATATTTTATTTCCTGGGGTAGCATATGAAAACAATGTTTTTTTAACATTTGTTTTTAGACTTTGGGTTCCAAATTTTCTCCCTTCCTCCCTCCCCACCCATCCTCATTGAGAAGGCAAACAACTCAATACAGGTTATACATGTGTAGTCATGCAAAACACTTCCATAGTAGTCATGTGAAAAACTAAGTATATTTTCCTTAATCTTATCCCACCCCCCATTTATTCTATTCTCTTTTGACTCTGTCCTTCCTTAAAAGTGTTTGTCTCTGATTACCCCCTCCCCAGCTCTGCCCTCCCCTCTATCATCTCCCTGCTCTCTTGTCCCCTTCCCTCCCTATTTTCCTGTAAGGTAAGATAGATTTCCATACCCAATTGAATGGGTATGTTAATTCCCTCCTTAAGCCAAATCTGATGAGAATAAGATTCACTCATTCTCTCTTGCCTTCCCCCATTTCCCCTCACCTGTAAAAGCCTTTTCTTGTCCAATTCATGTGAGATAATTTACCCCATTCTACCTCTCCCTTTCTCCTTCTCTTCGTATAATCCTTTCTCACTCCTTAATTTTATTCTCCAGATAACACCCCTTCATCTTCAACTCACCCTGTGCCCTCTATTTATTTATTTATCTATCTATCTATATACATACATATAATTTTTTCCCCTCCAACTACCCTAATACTGACGAAGGTCTCATGAGTTTCAAATATCATCTTTCCATGTAGGAATGTAAACAGTTCAACTTTAATAAGTCCTTTATGATTTCTCTTTCCTGTTTACCTCTTCATGTTTCTCTTGAGTCTTGTATTTGAAAGTCAAATTTTCTATTCAGCTCTGGTCTTTTCATCAAGAATGCTTGAAAGTCCTCTATTTCACTGAATGTCCAATTTTTCTCCTGAAGTATTATACTCATTTTTGCTGGGTAGGTGATTCTTGGTTGTAATCCTATCTCCTTTGCCCTCCAGAATATTACATTCTAAGCCCTCCAGTCCCTTAATGTAGAAGCTGCTAAATCTTGTGTTATCCTGATTGTGTTTCCACAATACTTGAATTGTTTCTTTTTGGCTGCTTGCAGTATTTTCTCTTTGACCTGGGAACTCTGGAATTCGGCTACACTATTCCTAGGAGTTTTTCTTTGGGGATCTATTTCAGGAGGTGATTGGTGGATTCTTTTAATTTCTATTTTGCCCTCTGGTCCTAAAATATCAGGGCAGTTTTCCTTGATACTTTCTCGAAAGATGATGTCTAGGCTCTTTTTTTGATCATGGCTTTCAGATAGTCCAATAATTTTTAAATTATCTCTTCTGGATCTATTTTCCAGGTCAGTTGTTTTTCCAATGAGATATTTCACATTGTTTTCTATTTTTTCATTCTTTTGGGTTGGTTTTACAGTGTCTTGATTTCTCATAAAGTCACTAGCTTCCAATTGCTCCATTCTAATTTTTAAGGAAGTATTTTCTTCAGTAATATTTTGGACTTCCTTTTCCATTTGTCCAATTTTGCTTTTTAGGGCATTCTTCTCCTCATTGTCTTTTTGGACCTCTTTTGCATTTGGGTTAGGCTATTTCTTTAAGGTGTTATTTTCTTCAGTATTTTTTTTGGGTTTTCTTTAGCAAGCTGTTGACTTGTTTTTCATGATTTTCTTGCATAACTCTCATTTCTCTTCCCAGTTTTTCCTCTACTTCTCTTGCTTCTCAAAATCCTTTTTGAGCTCTTCCATGGCCTGGGACCAATTCATATTTTTCTTGGAGGCTTTGGATGTAGAAGCTTTGACTTTGTTGTCTTCTTCTGGTTGTATGTTTTATCTTCTTTGTCACTAAAGAAAGATTCTATGGTCTGACTTTTTATTTTCAAGGTGTGTTCATGATCCCAGCCAATTACTTGAGTTTTATAAACTCTTTGTCAAGGAAAGAGTCTGCTTCCAGTGTGGAGAATGTAGTGTTCCAAGCTTTGGGAGTTTGTACAGCTGTTTTCAGAGATAATTCTAGGGACCTGTAAATTTTCAGTTCTTCCAAGTGGTATGATCAAGGGCGAGGTGTTTACTCTTTTCCTGGCCTGTGCTCTAGTCTATGAGTGACCACAAGCACTCTTTTCTGCCTTGGAACTGTGAGGAGGATTTCCTCTCCACCACCACTACAAGCTCCACCACACCAGCACTCCTCCTTGTCCCAGGACTGCCACCCAGAACTGTGACCCAGATCCAAACACAGGCAAAGCAAGAGAATCCTGTATGAGCAAAGAGACCCCTGCAATCCCCCTCTGATCAGCCACTCAATTCCTTCTCTGTCTGTGGGCCAAGAGCTCCAGAAGCAGCTGCTACCATGGGGGTAGCCTGACTAAGCTCCTCTCTCACCGTGATCTGAGGGACCTTTCTATGGACCTTCTAAGTTGTCTTTGGTGTTTGTGGGTTAAGAAATCTGGAAACCACCACAGCTATCCTTGATTCAATCCTGGATTGCTCCAGGCTTGCTCAGGCCCAGTCTTTGCCTGTATAGTCCATGCTGAACTGTGCTCCTCTCCTAGCATGGTGCAACAGGCTTTTCCAATCAACCATCCAAGTTGTCTTGGTCTGGACATTTGTTTCATTCTGTCTTTTTGTGGGTTCTGTTGCTTTAGAATTTATTTAAAGTCATTTTTTATAGATATTTGGAGGGGTTTGGGGGAAAGCTCAAGCAAGTCACTGCTTTTAATTCACCATCCTGGCTCTGCCCCCAAATAGTATGTTTTGATTTGCATTCAGACTCCATAGTTCTTCTCTGGATGTGAATAGTATTTTCCATCAAGTCTTTTGGAATTGTCTTGGATCATTGTATTACTGAGAAATGATAAGTCAATCATCACACAATGTTGCTGTTACTGTGTACAATGTTCTCCTGGTTCTGCTCACTTCACTCAGCATCAGTTCATGTAAGCCTTCCCAGGTTTTTCTGAAATCCATCTGCTCATCATTTTTTTTTAAAACAATAGTATTCCATTACATTCATATACCACAACTTGTTCAGCCATTCTCCAATAGGTGGGCATTCTCTCAATTTCCAGAGAATATTGATTTCTAAGGTAGGGACCAGTTCTAATATTCTAAGTTTTGAATCTGAGGAATGCTAGGTAAACTGGAAGGTCACACACCTTAATCAACAAATTACTACTCCAAGATATCTCAATTACTGGGTATTATCTTCTACCTGAGGCATTTCCTCATTTTCCTAGTTATTTATTTCCTGGTTATTAAAGCTCTCTCCCTCTAGAAACCTGGTATTACTTTATATTTACTTCTTTGGGTACTCATTGTATCCCCCAGTGGAATGGAAGCTCCCTAAGGGCAGATGACTTATTCATTATAGGTCTTTCTATTCCCAGCAGCTGGCAGAGTGCCTTGCAGGTAGCAGATGCTAAGTAAATATTTATTGAATTAAGTTCAATGCTGTGACTTCCCTCCTCTAAGGCACATGGTATTCCTGCTGAAAAGATAGCATCTTAAAAATGGGCCCCCCCCAGCTCATCACCTTGCATCTAAAGGTCCTGAGGTTTGACAGACTAGGTCAGATCTCATCTTGCCTGGGTTTGCTCTCAAGACCTGGACTGATGACTCCTTTGAAAGGGCTCTCTCTTTATAATTCTCAGAGCCTGGGACACAGGAGATACAGTGACCATCCAAGGATTGTAGGGGTTGGTCAGGAGTGAAGGGGACCTGCACACAGTAAGGTGGTTAGTACATGTATGCTGAATTAAATGGAAGTAATTCAAGGGATTGCATTTCAGAGGTTCAGAGCTGGCTGCAACTACTACTAAAAATGAGCTGAGGGTCATCCAGAGCTTATGATCTTCTATCCTGCCCCCTTCTCTGAGTTTGTTTTCTCCTCTGTAAAAAATCATCACACCTAAGAATCCATTGCTGGAAGGGCTTATAGAGAACATCTAGTCCAACTCCTTCTTTTATAGATGAGGCAACTGAGGCCCAGAGAGGGGTGGGGCCTTTCCCAAGACTATATAGCTAGTAAGCCACAGAGCTGGCATTCACACCAACTCCTTGGACTCCCAAGTCTACATAAAAGGCCATAAAAAGAGATCTTTTTGTCTTCTGAGCTTCTGGGGTACCTACTCTCCATACCATTCATCCTTTAATGGACATATGCCACCACCTCTTCAACTAAGTTAGCAAACTCCCTATGGGTAGAGGCCACATTTTATTTACTGTTGTATCCCTCTTGGAAGAGATCACAGGGAATGATGGCACTTGGTTAATATCCGTTCATTGATTGATTCCAGAATTAAGTGTGACAATCTTATCCATTCACTATTGGATTTAAAGCTTTCAAATAAGCTACAGTCTTCCTAACAACTGTTTGCTTACAAGGTGCTGCTAGAGAGCAAACAGGGAAAAGAAATCCCACTGGGCTGGAAGTGACAACTTGTACCTTCATCCTGGAAGCATATGATCCCACAGTGGGGGCCACTGGCTGATGATGTTTGAAGATGGATGCAAATAAAGTTCCTGGGCACAATGGACACAGAAGACAAAATCTATCAGCACGATAATTCCAAACTGCTGGCAGTGTGATGGGAATGCAACCAGCAAGCAGAATAGTCAAGGATTCCTGCCTAACTTATCCATATACAAAGGGAGGCACAAAGCTGGGCTAGGAAGCAGACCATAGGGTCCTATGGCTACCTCTGTCAACACAGGACAGATGGCCAGATGGATTTCCATCCTGAGCTTTTCCCCTTCTACAACTTTGCTAAGGCTGTGCATATGGCCTGGAACAACCTGCCCCACAATGATACCAAGCCCATCCATCCTACAAAGGCCTGCTTGAGACCTACCACCTCCATGATGCCTTCCTGGATTCCTCCTCAGGTCCTCAGATGGAATCCCTTGTGAACCCTGAACTCCATGAACCCCACAAACCCCAATTTAAAACAGAGTCTGCTGTAAGAAAGAGACAAACAAAATTGGGGTACATGTGTCCATGGTTTAATTTCTTGAAGTGGCTTAACATGCATTGCATGGGAGTTCAGTCCACTGCTGGGACCCCCTAAGGGGGCCACTTCAAAACTGGCTCAGTTTGGGATTTTGGGGTACAGCATTATATGCCCTTCGAAGAGAAGGTGTTCTCAAGGGGGTGCCAATTAACCATGATTGGTAGACATACTAGGAGGTAAGTGGGTTCCTTAGATCACGCAGTGCACAGGGGTCAATATCACCTGCCATCAAAGGAAATACTGTACCTAGTCCTGGAAGTCCAACTTCACCCAAACCTGAGCAGAATAAAATCAATTCAGGCCTGTGTTGGGGTTTGACCAAGATTGGAAGATTCAATGCAATCTCATCATCAGCGATGTCCTTCTGAACAACTTTGGACAGAAGACTGGCAGAGTGGAGCTCTGAGTATCCAGGACACAGATTACTAAGAGATCATTTTTAACACCTTCATGTGATTTTTTAAAAGATATGGAATGCGTCATGAATTTGCATGTAATCCCTGTGCAGGGGCCATGCTAATCTTGTCTGTATCATTCCAATTTTAGTATATGTGCTGCTGAAGCGAGCACAATACAAACCTTTATTACCACTCACTTGGACTGCTACAAATACAACTAAGCATGCATACACAGAGTACCACAGAGGCACAACTCTTCTTTATACTTTATAAGCTCTGGGAGGGTCCTCATTACAATTCAAACTCTTGTTGGAAATTTGAGTTCTCATAACAAGGTTAATTTCTTCTTTAGTGTTTTAGGAGTTCCTGAGGGATTGGGATTATTCTTTCTAATGTTATTGGTTTAAGCTCTCATTCTGCTATATTCTACCCAATAACAATTACCAGTTACAGCTAGTTTCTCACCAATTTCACTGATTTATTTTTATTTTTTAATTTTTTTTTACTAATTTCATTGATTAACCCAGTGATTAGTGCCCTAGTATTACTTAATTAATTAGTTATTGCTTAAGTAAGTGATCACTTAAGTGTCAATTAATTTTTACAAAGAGATATTTATTGAGAAGATATAACAAGAGAAGAAGTATAAAACATACTCCTAAAGTGGTAGTACACTCTCCCCTATACCTTTTTTTGTGCCTAGGGAGCATGACTCAAATGCAGAGGCCAGGAAACAGGTATAATCATGTGTTAGTCCAGGAAGCCAGTAGGAGGCTGCTGCATGCACTCCTCTCCCCATGAGGGGCTTAGAGTAGCTTCACTCACCACTATAAAAAGAAAACCAGAGTTGTGCTAATGAAAATCTTCTGTATGAATGTTCAATACTTAATCAAAGAAGCCCTTTCTTTGTCAAGTGATAAGTATTCAGGAAACAGTTGTCACACATTTGTGCATGCTCCAAAGTCTATGTGGGAGATTGCATTATGCTTAGCACACTGTACATGCTCAGTTCTTTAGGACTGGGGTCTCATTGGCCAGTTCCTTGTTAACATATATCAGCCTGTTAATAGAATCTAAGCCCCATGAAGTCTTGATACTTCTCTAAGTGTCCTTTTCCACACACAGTGTGGAAAAGTGCCTCCATAAATGTTTGTTGAATGGACATTTTATGCTTATTTTCTCTTGTTTGGCTTTCAGTATAGACTAAAATTATCTGTTCATCCTCCTACATTAAGAGATGAATGTTTTATATGAGGGCCATTATTAAACTACACCCTTTATTCTCTTCCCTAGGCTAATTCCAATTGCTTTAACTTTTCATCTTTGATAGTGTTTTCCAATCCCTTCACTGCTGTAGCTCTCTGCTGAACCCTCTCTATTTTATTCACCTCCCTCTTGAGGCAGAAAGCCCAGAATGGGATATGACTTCCTCACTCCTCTGCCAGATGACATTCTTTGCCTTCTTCAAAATTCTCTAGACATCTTTATGAAGCCTTTACTGATTAATCCCACCTGACTCCAATCATTCCATTCACTCAAGGAATCCTCATCATTCTTCACATTTCCTACTTTCCATGTAACCCTCATTTTAAAGCAATTAAGTATGCAGGTAATTCTGTAAATTTGTGAAAACAAGAATTTATTATAAAAAAGAGATATTGCGGGGAAAGAGAGTTAATTTATTTTATAAAAGTGTTTACCACAGATTTCTTTTAAATCATTGTGTGGTGGAAAGAGCGCTGTACTGGGAGTCCTAACTGGATTTGAATCCAAGCTTTGCCAGTTATTAACTGTGTGAGCTTGAGAGAGTTACCTCAACTTGTTGGGGGTCAGTTTCCTCATTTGTGAAATGGGTGGAAGTAGAAGAGATGGTCTCTTAGTTTCCTTTGAGTTCTTGATCTGCTAATGTTATCTTTTTAAAGTTATATTCCATCTACTCTGAATTTTTTTTAATGTTGTCTCTTTCATTAGACGTGTAAGTCCCTTAAGAGTAGGAACTGTTTTTTGTCTTTTCTTTACATCCCCAGCTCTTAGAACAGTTCCTTACACATTCTAAGTGCTTAATAAATTCATGTTGAATGAAATAGTGAACTTCTCTACTATATATAAAATAGCTTTCATTTATGATTTCTTGAAATATAGCTCTGAAAAACCAGACCCATTACATTCAAATGGAGCTACTTGACTGTTCCTTTAAACCCAAATCACTCTGACTTTCACTGATTGACCAATAATATGTACCAGCCTAAGCCTCACTTGCTCATTGTTTGGGTTTTGATGTCTCAGAGTGAGTATAAATAGCAATTGTTTAGGTTTGGACCAGAAACCTGAAGGTTTTCCCCACCCAGATTGTTTCTTTTGAGAAGGTAAACTAGGCCATCTTTTGCCTCAATTCTTACCTACCCTTTAATCACTTAACAGGTGTTGCCTCAGACAAACTGAGACCTGAGAAACATCTTAGCTTGAAAAAGCCAGCTTGGTGGCCCAATGGATAGAGCACTGGCCCTGGAGTCAGCAAGACTTGAGTTCAAATCTGATCTCAGATCAGACACTTGACACTTACTAGCTGTGTGGCCCGGGGCAAGTCACTTAACCCCAATTGCCTCACACACAAAAAAAGCCAGTCTCCCATTGCATCCAGTGCCATAGCTAGTCCTTCTTTCTTATATCTTGCCACTGGACCCCAATGACTCTCAAGAAGAGAGTGAAGCTGATGACCTTGCACAGTTCTACTTCACTTAAATCTAATTCATTTGCAAGTCAAGACATCACCTTCTTGGTGTCATTGGTCCTCTTTGAGAATGAAGAATAAATTACATCAATACAGAATCAGCCTATATGAAACTTTTGAAGAATAAATGTATTGTGTAAAGGAAGGCATGCCTAGAAATCCCATTACAGTCTTGTGTATGTCCATCCCTCTCTATCGTTTCTATTTTTGTTTCTCTCTCTCCCTTTCTCTCTCCATATATATGTATATATATATGTATATATATATATACATATATAAATATATGTATCTGTGTCTTACTCCCCTGTTAGGTATAACTTATTTTCATTAAGAACCCATGCTTTGACCCTCTTTAGTAATTCTTTTTGGTTGCTGGTTTTGTGCATTGTATTTAATTTTCTCTCAATGAAATGGGAAGTGACTTCAGCCTTGAATTTCCTTTTCTTTTCTTTCTTTCTTTTCTTTTTTTCTTTTTTTGGGAAGGCAATTGGGGTTAAATGACCTGCCCAGGGTCACACAGCTAATAAGTGTCAAGTGTCTGGTCTGAGACTGAATTTGAACTCAGGTCTTCCTGACTTTAGGACTGGTGCTTTATCTGCTGCACCACCTAGCTACACCTTTGAGTTTTCTTTATCCTATAATTTCTTCAGTGCTTTTGAAGTCTTTGTTAGAAGCCTTCAGAATAGGGGTTTTTCTTTTACTTTCTAACATAAATAAATAATCAGACATATTAACCATGCAAGAACCTTAAATTAACTAGATGGGAAAGTAAAGGCTCTTCACTATTACCACCATGAAGTTCATGATCTCATTTTTATCATCCTATTATTAAGTGTAAACATCTTTCATTCCTGTAGTGGTAGTATCAATTTAATTCCCTTTGGACTTTTAGGGGTCTAGAATATGGGAATAATCTCAAAACAGAGCATAATATGTTGGCTCCCCTTCACTAAAAATTGAGAATTCCTCCTACCCTTATAAAACTAAAATAGAAAATTGTTTCATATTTAATTTTCTACTGAGCACCATGAAAGGCAAATGCTAGAGTGTTAAAAATGTAATAACTTTTAATTGCATTTGTTAGATTGGATCTGAAATCTTATTGTCACAGTAGAATTCTTTATCACACCCTAGACTTGATGCAATTTTAACATTATGAACTTTTAATCACTGTGAGAATATGAGGGAGCTTCCTTAGGTATTTTAAAAGAACAAAATCAATGGTTTTGGTGATAAAGGGCTTCCACTGCACAGTTCTTTGGGGTTGTCAGCAATTATTTTGTTTCTAATTTTATATAGATGTCTACTTTAAGTAATACTAAAGCAAACATTTTAAAAATGTAAAAGCAAATATTCCACGATAACATTATACTTTATTTCTACCATCCTCCTACCTTGTAATTTGCCAAAAGAAATAAGAAAAGGCCAGATTCTCCTGGGATTATATGAATATGCTAAATTTCCCTATTAATATTCTGAATAAATCATACATGAAACTATGCATGCACTATTATGTTTGGAACATTTCTGCAGATAACTTAGTAATGACATTAATTAATAATTAATAATGACAACTATTGGTGTTTTTTAGAATAAAGTTACTTCTATTATAACATATGTTGGAATCTCTGTACAGCTGTAAACATATGATTATAAACTATAGTGACCCTGCCTGATTTTTAGGAAGTCTGAATTGAATTTCAGACCACACAGGTATATTTTGATTACTTTTACACTAACCAATATCACTTCCCAGGAAATGTTATTAGATTTTTTTTCCCAAATCTTACTTTAACATGGTGAAATATTGCTTTAATGTTGATTCAATTTATAAGCCTCACTCTATGCTGTCTGGATATGATCCTCTTAGCTCAGTCTCACATGGACCTTTTCATTTATCTCAGATCATGCTGACATCTAAATACCTTTGGCTATTCCACATCTTTCAGGCAGTCCATAGGTTCTCTACCTGGGTGGGGGAAGCTTTGTTCAGTCCTGAGCTGATGCCCATTTTCAGTGATCCTTGTTTAGGTGACTCACTTTAGTGACTATCTCATCCTGACCAACCCCATTGAAGAATGCAAGCTAGGTAAGTACAAATAAAATATATACAAAATAAATATACAGCAATGGAAATGAAGCGCTAATACCTCAGGCAATCAGAAAAGGCTATTTCAAGGAAATGGAACTTCAGTTGAGCCTTGAAGGGAGCAAGGGCTTCTAAGAGGTAGAAGTGAGGAAGGAGAATAAGCATTCAAGACATGGGAACAGAGAGCCTTAGCAAAGGCCCAAAGGCAAGAGAGGAAAGCTATGTCTAGGGAACATTAAGTAGCTTGGTTTGGCTAGAGCAAATGCATGAAGGGGAGAATTGAAAACCGGGTTAGAAAGATTCATCATCAGAAGGCTTTCAGGCTTAAGATTAACATTTGCTTTGTCTATAT